CATATTAATGCCTTTTTAAACAACGACAATTTATATACAATAACAGTCATTGCATTGCCAAAGTTAGTCTGCTGTCTCACTGTAAAATAACGTCAATTATTAAAGTCTGCGCTGTGGCCTCTGTACTAGTACTACCATAGAAATATATAGCACACTTATTTCTATGAGTACTACAGCGGAATCTTTGTTATGTACTCTTGGTATTTGAAACGCAAATGTAATCGCTTACTAGCGCCGACGCAGCGGCCAGATATAGTAACCACTGAGACTCATAACAATGAAGCAATGATATTATAATAATATATGCATACACACTATAGAAATACATACTAATGAGACTCTGTATGTTCTTTGTATATTTTAATAACACACGCACACACACCTGTATATATATAAAAACAATTTTTAAAAATGGACACATTTTTATATCATGATTCATGATATCAGAGCTGGGTTCACACCACACAGTCAGTGGTTCACGCACGCACGCACGCACGCGTAATATATATATAATATATATATATATATATATTTGACTTTGAGGGATGGTGGGAAAATTAGCATAGCAAGATAAAAAAAATTCGAACAAAATTTATGTATAAAAAATTGATAAATTAACTTTTCGGAATTTTTAATGTATACCTGGAAGAAAAAATAAACTTTTTTTATTGCAGGTGTTTATGCTATTAACAGCCGCAGAAAGGTAAGCTAAAAAGTGATAAACGGCGACAGACACTTAAAGATCGTGGCCAATATGAATAATGTAAAGAAGGAAATGCTGCCGAAAAGCAAAAAATGTAGGTTAAAAATAAAAGACATTTGAAAATTTGTCCTGAGCTACCCAATGGCCAAAACCAGCTAAATAAAGCCAGGAGAGAGAGAGAGAGAGATAGAGTTAGACAGGCAAGATGCAGAGCACTGTGGAAGGCAAGGACTTGTGCCAATCGAGCAATCTACCAAGTACAGTCGAACTTCGTTACTAACTTAATTACTACGTTCCCTGTTTATAACGTATACACTGTTACAACGTACACATCTCCAAGTCCCGAATTTGTGTAATGCATTATTCCATTTGCCAGTATCGTTTACAACGTACACCTTTATAATGTAAACTTCAATACAACGTTCAAAATTTTCACTGGAAAAATGCATACTAGCTTTCGTTACAAAGTACGGCGGGAAACCTTGCAGCACTCAATCTTTCATTTCTTTGAGTGCAAATAACGGGAACAAAAGACGGGTGTCTTCAATACATTGTTTTATTTTACTCTAAATTGACAAATTTGTTACAGGTGTTATCATTAAACTTTCATGTTTTAATTCTTGCGTTAGCATACATTTTATGGAAATTGGTTACAACAAACTATCGTTATAACGTACTGATTCTTAAGGTCCCTGGAGGTACGTTGTAATGAACTTCGACTGTGCTATGACGCACGCCAAAAAGAAGAACTGTAGTGTGTAAATCACTGAGATCATTACATAGATCACAGGCACAGAAGTACAAAATCCCTGGAAAAATTATCACTGATCAAATATTTAGGAAAGCTTTGGTCTGTTGCACCTCGTTCTCCTAGTCAATTTATCGACATTTGACACTGATGAGATTGCAGCACATTTCTAGTCTCAAACGTCTGTCCACAAACACCACAGATCCAATTTTTTTTCGTGTGTGATGTTGACTAAGCATGCTGCATCTGCATTTTTATCTCTGCAATGGCAGCCAAATGCATCTTAGACGTTTTGTGTAGTAAAAACCTTCTCTTGCTCTTAGAAGTTGTCATGCATAAGTTGCACACAATCCCGTTTGATTTTGGTAATTTCTTATCATATTTAGTCAACACATTTTGAGGGATATTACACCCATGAACTTCAAACCGATGATGATACAACGTTTCTATGCCATCATAAACCTTGTCAGAAATGCACAAAGAGCAGCCATATGTTCCCGGCTTCCTTCCATTTGGGTGTTCCCTGTAACCGCTCTTCAACTGCCCATTGCCATCAGGGGCATTGCAGGTGGATGTGTCCAGATCAGAGGCAGGATATATGACCTGTCTACCAAACCATGTTTGCTTTACTATTTCTTCTGTTGCTTCCTTTTGTGCTTCTCCTGCTGTTTTTCTAGCAGCTTCTTTTTGTGCCTCTCTTGCTGCTTTTCTTGCTGCTGCTTTCTGTGCGAGTATCATTGCACTATTAGCTCGGTTCGAGCGAGATATTCCTTTACACTGTGTGAATAAGACCTTTCTCTTTCGCCTCCTTTTCAATGACAATGGCTGTGGAGCTGGAATCACTATATTCGCCATGGCTGCATCCGAGCTCGGATTCATATCACTAGCTTCAACGTGCTCAGTCTCCTCCTCCTTGTGCGGCGGCAGCGACGGTGGGGCTTGAAACGATGTCCCCTCTCCGGACACCATCTGTAGCCAGTTCATCACATTCTCGTCATTAATGCTGCGACCTTCAACGATGTCTAGAGATTCGCCATGATCAACTGCCGTTCCACCTGCCATGTCAGAATCATACTGCAGCTCTATATACTCATCCACAACATCGGACACTGGCTCCAACTTCGGTTGTACGAGCACCGAATAGTCGACTGAACGCTCGCAAGGATGCTGGTTCTGTTCATCAGGGGCAGAGTTGTGGCCTTCGCAGATGAGCAGCTTGCAGTGGGCGGTCTGCGCATGAACACTAAAGTCATTCACTGTGAAGAAACACTCCCAGCATGCCGTGCATCGGTAGTAGACCGACGAACCACCGATAGGATCCAGTGCCATCATCATAGGAGGGTATAGTCTGACGTTGCCACGTAGAAAGTTAGTAGGCCTACTGGATGCCTGCCTCGAGTTCCACTTTGTTGTCAAATCGATAGCCACTGCCTGCATGTATGAATGAAAACCGCATAAGATAACATTACTTGTCTTTTCGCAGTTGGGTTTTCTTAGTTAGTTTTCACTATTTCTAGAAGTAGAAGTTTATGACAATTTATAATTATAATTTATATACTGTCTGACAAATAATGAATTGCCAAAGTGAAAGTAGGCTATGGTCAATGTATAAAGTCTGTGCTGTGCATGGCCTGGCTGTACTAGTACTACCATAGAAATATATAGAGACACGTCTATCTATATTATTTCTGAGTACTACAGAGGAATCTGTTGTTATGGAGCCCTCCGATCGGTTCTCTCAAGGCGGCAAATGTAATCGCTATACTAGCGCCGACCAGCGGCACAGAAACAGATATATATCATATATACACAGTAGATCACTGCATATTATGATATTATATATTGTAACTGTATAACCTACACAAAGGCTGCCAAGTTATCTCTA